AGAAAACTATGATCACTGTCTACTCTAAGGTTCAGCAATAAAAAATACATTACTATAATGTAATAGAAAATCCTAATGATGAAACACTGAATACTAATTTCACTGAAAAGGAAAGCAGAAAAACAAGAGAGATGTTTAGAGAAAGGTATCTAAGAACTAAATCTACCATGTTGACTCAGAAGTCAATAGATAATATTTTAAGAGTGATAAATCAAGAAATAGTAATGCAAGCATCATAAAAGAGAAATATGGATATAAATACTAGAAAAAAATTAACAGCTCAAGTGTTAATCAGTTGCCCCTAAAAAGCAAGACAGGATTTACAAGGGTCAGGAAGGGACTGCTGTTCTTCACCATAAGCTTTGTAGTACATTTGACTTCAATTGTGTGCAAGTATAACTTTCACAAAAATAAAAATTAACATTAAAAAACTACTTAACTATTTAATTTTAAAACTACTTAACTTCAAAAGAGCAACTTTCTCAGTAGAAGAATCCAGGTAATCTTTTCTTTGTATTTAGATTTTTATTTTTATAAAAGAAAACCCACAAAAATACTCACCTAAAATAGTAAGAAATATAAAAAGAAATACAATCCTTCTGATAACATATATATAATTAGATGAATCCATCTCCACATACGAAGTCATTCTTCGAAAGATAAGGAGGGCTGATCAACTGCACTTCAATTAAAAAAAGGGCAGGGGTGTGGGGGATGGGGCCTGTTGGGCACACAGCAGGAACTCAATTTTTAAAAACATAATTATTAAAATTTAAATTTAAAAAAAATTAAAAATAAAGATGAGGAGGCCTGAAACTAATATAATGTTATATGTCAATTGTAACACAAGAGAAAAACCAAAAAAAAAGAACTCTGAGAGCACTGCAGATGAACATAATCTTTTATTTAAATCTATCATTGTATTAAACCACGTTCTGGAAAATTATGAATGAATGAATGGATGAATGGAGGAATACAGTTTACTAGAAATTTTAACTTTCCAAGTGTAACTTTATTTCCCTCATGGGCTAGAGAAACTTAAATACATTGAAGATGTGAAAAGACACATGGGAATCATTTTTAGGTCAAGCTAAAAAACACTTCTCAGTATTGTATTTTTATATGAACTTTTACATCCAGAAAGCTTTTCTGTCTGCTATCTCATAAAATGAATCAGGACCAACTGGTTTCTTCATATCTACACAAGCTCTGCAACTCAAGAGTTTTATTGCCACTATAAAGCTCTGACTATATACTAAAGGTAAAATGGCCTTAAATCAAATAATTAATTCCATTTCACAGCAAGCCACAAAAAGGTCGTCTTACAATAAAAGAGAGACTGAGCTTTTTTTCACGTGCAGGGAGAATAGGGCTTGGACACAGAAGGCAAAAACAACTACCCCAATAATGAACCTTTACCTAGACTGAATAATGACATTGTCCACTGCGGACAAAGGGACAAGGAAAAAGAAGAGTAAAGAAACAAAATTTCAAGTTGTCTTTCAGTATAATTTCATGATCTAAAACCCTGCAATCCGTTGTAGTTCTACCAACATCACAATGAATATCAAATATACATATATTAACACAGAAAAAGGAGAACTGCCTTATGCCAGAAAATGAGGAAAGAAATGTCTTACCTTGTTCAATTTCGAGCAACATGATCTAGCATTAATGTAATCACATTCTAAATCCGACAACGTAATTATCTGATGATCAAGATAAGGAATTATGGAACTTTTTATAACAACAAAGTATTTGTTTTGGAGTTTCAGAAAGCAATTCCAGTTACAAAGCAGAATTAGATTTGACTTGACAAAATTTAGTTATATCCTTAAAGTTCATTCATTAGACAACTAAATTTTCTCATTTATGTTCCTTCAACAAATGATTCTCACAGAATAATCCTATTATGCTCAATTCTAATGTGACCTATATCAGAACATTCAATCTGAGTTCCTCAAATGTCAAACAGTGGCTATAAGAAATGGAAAATAAGACCTATAAAAACAGTTTAAATGTTATAAACCTGAATTCCCAGTAGTAGGAAAATAGTGTTTATGATATATCCATAAAATATCTTTGAAAACTTGATATTAAAAAAATAGGATACAAAACTATAAATTCAACATGGTCATATGTTGTTAGGAGTGGTTGTCTTGCAAGATGTATTACAGATGGTTCGTTTTCCTAATCCTTTTCTGTATTTCTCAAACTTTCCACAATAAATATACTATATTGGACTTAAATAAAAAATAGATTTTAGTACAAAATATAAACTCATAGATAAAAATGTAAGGGACAAATAGACATAAAAGGAAAAGTTCTCAATTGAATGTGCGGGATTTACTTTAAAATGCTCCCCCAATAGTTAGGAGAAAGATGAAGAATAGCAAAATGTTGAAAATCACTGAAGGTGAGTAATAGAAACGTGATTTATTACACTACTCTCTGCTTTTGTTTGAAAATGTCCAATTAAACAGGTAAAAACTATGTTCTCAACTAAATTCTAAACATTTCCATATGGATAGTCCCCCTATCACCTCAGCACACCTAAAGATAAAATCATCACTTTCTCCACAAATCGTCCCACCTCCAGTTTGTTTTCTGTCAGTGACACAAACATCATTTGCCCAGGCTCAAAATATGGAAAATTATTTCCACCTTGTTTCTTATCTCATAATAGATCATTACCAGGTCCTATAAATCACTTCTTCCTAATACCTCCTTTCACATGCCCACAATTAGCAGCCCATTTCAAATCCAGATGAATCCATTTACCTAATGGTTTCTTACTTTCTAATCTTTCCTGGTTCCAACCCACTCTGCAGACTCATCTTCCTAATACACCACTTTATGTCAAAAATTTTCAATGGCTCCCTATTGCCTAGAGGATTAAAGTGAAGTCCTCCTCTTCTTAACATTCAAACTCTCCAAAATCTAATCTAATCCAGCCTTTCCAAACCTGACAACCATGCGCTCCATCACCCAGAAATCCTATGAACATACCTGTCTCTGCACCTTTGCTCTTGCCTGTTATCTGATTTTAAACATCCACTCCCTTCCTTCTCTGCAGGTTTTCTTCATGGTTCAAAGTCCAGGAAAACTCTTATCCTTACAGAACTTATACCGAGATTCTCCACCTCTTGTGGAATGCTAATATTACGCTGGGGCAACCATCCAAAAATACAGTAATACAATACGCTGTATTTAATCAAAACCCACACTGAATGTACCTTAACATATAAGTCTAATATTCCACCTAATATGTTTCTATGTACATAAACTGGTATAAGCCAAGGCTATTTTAAATTATCAAGCCTAGTTTCCAAACTATAACAAGAGAAATTCAAGTTTCATTTCTCTGAATTTAAGCTCCAGTTTCTTATGCCACAAGATGGACATAGGTCATCAAAACTTCCTAAGTGACGCTGCTCTTTCAGTCAGTTCGCTGAGCCTAATAAAACTCAAGGTTCTCCTCATTGGAAATCATCAGTTAAAGTTAAAAACTGCTGCTCATAGCGGGGCATGGGGAGGGAAGACAAAAATATTTACTAAACATTGGCCATGGGGCAGGCATTGTGCCGCTAGGTGCTTAACATTAACACGTTCACACTGCGCACACGTTTCTGGGAAGTAAACATTTCCCCCCATTTTAAAGATAAGAAAACCGCGGCTTAGAAAGATGAAGTAATATGCACAGCAAATAACTAGCTAAGCAAGGAGTCCTGATTCCAAATTTTGTCCCTTCCCACTTCCACAGGTTGCCTGTCCATAATAAAGTATGAAGCCACACTGGTTCTGTACAACCATCCTTAAGCCAGAATGCTCCTGCAAACAAAAGGTTTAACTCTGTCAGAAACGGACACATGTAATTTCCAAGGGGGAAAAAAATGCAGAGTTTCTAATGTTTTTCCGAGCTTATATTTAATTACCTAAAACTGGACTGTGCATTAATTACATCATTAGGAGACAACAAACACTAGCTGCTCCCTGAAGAGGAAGGAAGACTTGTAGCCTCCACGGCTTCTAGAGTGCTAGTTCAACAACCGTTTATTGGCCTGGAAAATATACTTGGAATACAGTAATATGAACAGCTAAACTACATAAAATACGGAAGTTTTAAACGGGAACTGACAAAAGCGTAAAAGGTGAAAAATACTGAAAACTAAATCACGTATATAGTTACTGAATTTACAGATCTGCAACTGATAGGAGCAACAGAAATAATCACTTGCAGGCGGTTTTTAAAATAAACCCTTCCCAACACTCCCTACAAAACGGCATCGCGAAGGAAACATTTCACCCGTTTTTGAAATGAGTCAACTCCTGGATGTCAAAGCTCCCTAACAAGTTGCAACACCCGTGAGAACAAAGGCGCGGGCAGCGGGGTGTTGCCCAGAGAATGACAAGAGGCGGCAAATCGCCTCCGCCGGGCTCAGAGCGGGACTGTCCACAAGCGACCGCCCCCGGGACCCCCAGCATCCGACCAAGGGCTCGGCCCAGGAGAGCAGCAAGAAAACTCGCGACCCTTATCTCTCGAGGGCCAAAAGAGGGGGGAAACCGCGACCCCACTTCTTTGACGGCAAGGGGAGGCCAAGTGCCTGCCCCGCTCAGAGGAGAGCAGGTCCGGGCGTCGTGGGGGCAAGCGACAGCGGGCAGGCCCGGCCGAGGCGCTTCGAGAGAAAGGCCGGCTAGGACCCGCGGGTGAGGGGCGGCCAGAAGCCCGAGCAGAGCAGGCGGGGCGGAGAAGGGCAGCCGGGCTCTCCTCTCGCCCGGGCTCGCCACATCGGCCCCAGTAGGTACCAGCGCGGGCCACCGGCCGCCTCTCTCGCTCTTTTTTCTACCTGCCCTGGTCCCACCAGGGCCCAACCCCAGCCCTGTCCCTCAGCGGCTAGCCCCAGGCCAGCCCCGCCCGCCTCAGGCAAGGATACGAAGTACACTGAGAGGAAGATGAGCGCGCAACAGTCCAAGAGAGAGAAGACAAACACCACCGTCTCCATTCTCCTCCTCCTCCGCCGCCGCCGCCGCCGCCGCCGCCGCCGCTGCCGCTGCCGCCGCGCCGCTCCTTCCGTCAAACAGGCTCTGGTGCCCCGCCCCGCCCCGCCCCGATAGGCCCTTGCCACAGCTTGCTGGGGCGTGTAGTCCGCTCTGCCGCGGCGCGGCATGCCGGGAGTTATAGTCCATTTTTTTTAAAAACTCTACCGCCATAATTCTGGTGCATGCTGGGAAGTGTAATTCGGTAGTACGAATACTCATCAAAGAGGTGGGCAGAGTCTCTACTTTAAATCTAATTGATTATTTCTAGAACTATGACAAGCAAGCAATTAGTCAACGAGTATTTACTGAACGCTTTTAATCTTCTGGATACCCAATAGAACTTCTTTGCCCTGTGCAAAAACAGTTTTTTTAGATTCCACACTGGACCCATTAGATCCCCTGACTTGGGACTGGTAAGAGGTTTGAATCACAAAGAACAAATGTAACCTCAACATTCTCAGGTTGAGCCTTGCCCTTTCTGATCTCAGTTTCTCCGGAGATTTCACAATCCCTTGCTTACTCTCGGTTACAGCTATGTTTCTCTCTACTCTAGATTTTAAGATCTTGAAAATTGAGTATGTTGTCTTATCCATTATTTAACACATATTTACCGACTCCACCCCTACTAAATGCCAAGAACTGCCCTATACTCCAGAGATACAGAAATGTGTAAGGCAGACAAGATGCAGTTCTCATCGAATGAATGGGTGGGAGGAACAGGCAATAAATTAGCAACTAGATACAGGGGAGAAAAAAAAAGATCATATCAAAGGGTTATAAACTCTCTGAACAAATTATATCAAAGTCATACATTCATTGAACTAATATTTTCTGAGCAGGTAGTATTTGCTAGGTACTGGACCTTAGAGACACAGAATGAATAAGAGAGGGAAAAAAAAAAATCCCTACATTCCTGTAGCTTACTTTCCAGTGGGGGAGACACACACATGCATACACACATACATACATACATATCCGTGACAGGAAGTTATAGTACTTTGAAGAGGATGAGGAAGTCCCCTCAGATTGGAGACTGACTAATCAGAGAAGGCCAAGCTGAGGAACTGACATGTAAGTTGAAATCTGAATAATAGCTACGTAAAGATTTGTGAGCACAATGTTTCAGACAGTGGGAACAGAGATCACAAAGGCCCAGTTGCTCATAGAAACTTCGTGTGTTTAAGGAACAGGAAAAAAAACCAGCGTGGCTGAAGTACAATGAATAAGAGTCAGTGTTAAGAGGCTACCAGAGGTGGGCAGGGCAAGGTCACATGGGCTTGTGGACCTCTGGCAAGGAGTTTGACTTTTACTCTAATACAGTGATAAACTGCTGGAGAGTTTTAAATATAAAAGTGCACTGAATGTATGAAAGGGTGACAAGTTTTTCTGCAAAGTGACCAGTTAGGAGAGAAGGGGATGAACAGGGAAATTAGTATGAAGGCAAAACCAACTGCATGTGCCTGACACAGCTTAGGTTCATAGGATCATAAAGGGTTCATAGGTGAAAGCTAGACTGACTGCTAATAGATTATTTATAAACCAGCTATCATTACACTCTCACTGCACCTTGTACGTACCTCTGTCAGAGCACTTATTACATTAACTTTCTTCCTTATATTCCTCACCCACCATGCTTAAATCACAATAAAAGTAACATATTTTATTAGTTTCTGTACCCCCGGTATCTTCTACCCTGCAAATAACTGTTTAATAAATGGTTCCCAAATCAATAACCCATACTGACTACAGGAGAGATTTTATTAAAATTAGTCCATATTTCATTAAAAACATAAATGTCATCTCACACACATTTCCCTCAAGTTGGAACAGAAAACACAAGCTATCCTATTTTCTCTATCTGCTGCTTTATCTTCAGTAAATTAAAAAGCTGGCACCATAGTCAAAGGTTAGAATTACCTATTTTAATTAAGATAGCCTTTTTCTCATCTACTTGAAAACTTAAAACATGGTTGCAATGTCAAAACTTGGGGAATACAAATTTTAAGAGAGAAATAATCAGGATTAAGAAAACAGTAAGTAGGGTATGTGTTTGTGTGTGTGAGAAAGAGAAAGTTATCAAGACTTATGGCTAAAATATATATTATATTTTAAAAGTACAAATTGAACTGTTTCAGTTTCCAGTCTGTCATGTAAGGAGCTTGGAAGTTACCACTAGGTTCTACAACAAATAAAAAGCCCAAGAAATAGAAAAACCAACTCTTCTTAAGTCTGTCAGAGAAGTGAGGTCACTGCTCCAAAACTGGGAGAGACAGAGAGGCCAATACAGAGAATCAAAATTTACCAGAACAGAAATCCACCAGCAAAAATCACCATGGAACCAGTATTGGAATAGAAAAACTTGACCTATAACCAATAAAAAGCTGGAGGCTCAGTGTGGACAAGCATGAATATAAAAACTCGAGATGGGGTGGGGGTCAGGGGAGATTACTTTTATGAATCTTACCTCCTATAGTTTTCTACCAGGTTTTCTTAGTGAAGATCAAAGAAAAATCCTCTGTGCTTCCAATACGGGGAAGCAAAAAGTGGCCATTTGAAAAGTGCCAAAGCATTCTGTTCTTCTTAACAAGACTTGCCCTCAGGAAAAACAATTTTATGAAAGCCTAACCTATTGGGGTTTTGTCAGAGTACAAATGACCTGAGGGAAGAGAAATACTCAACTCTAGCACTTTAAGTCATCTGCCCCACCTCAGGGGGAAGTAGAGGGAGGATTGAGAGGCACTTGTGAAGTTTACAGCCCAGGGCAAAAGGTCACTAAAAGACTAAGACTTAATCATAGGTCTATAGAACATTCTCTCTCCCCCCAAGTCACTAAAGGCCTATTCACTGGACTTCCTTTCACCCAGTATATTATGTCCAGCTTTCAACAACAACAACAACAAAATTACAAGGCATACTAAAAGGCAAAAACACAGTTTGAAGTGACAGAGCAAGCATCAGATCCAGATTCAGATATAGCAGGGATGTTAGAATCATCACATCATGCATTTAAAACAACTATGATTAATATGCTAGGGCACTATTTCCACTTTAACTGGAAAAAGTACATAACATGCAAGAATAGACAGATAATGTAGCTGAAGAGATGGAAATTCTAAGAAAGACTCAAAAAAATGCTACAGATCAAAAATATCACAGCAGAAATGAAGATTATGTTTCATAGGTTCATTAGTAGATTGAGCATCACTAAGGAAAGAATCTCTGATCTTGAGAATATGTCAATAGAAATTTTCAACACTGAAAAGCAAAGGAAAAAACACTAAAAAAATGTAATATTTAAAAATTGTAGGATAACTCCAGAAGGTGTACTATATGCATAATAGGGATATCTTCTCTCTAGAAGGAAAAGAAAGAGAGAAACAAACACAAGAAATACTTGAAGCACAGGGAAATATACACAAAATGTTATGATAAATCACAGAGAAAAAAATGTGACAATGAGTGTGTATATGTCCATGTACGACTG